AACTCTAATATTCATATATCTAGTTTTTCGAATTCGAACTCGAATACTTGGTATTTGATAATTATTCATGAATATTCACGAATACTTATCGAATATCAAAGTATATTTATTCCGCTAAAGAGTTTGATTTTAAAATAGTATTAAAATTCATAAATAAAATTTATTTCTTTATAATATATGGATGCATATATATTTAAATCAAAATTTTAATTAGAAAACTGATTTAATATTATTTAAGGCATAAAATCAATATATAAAACTAAAGTAGAAATGGTAAGTGGGTTAAAATATGATATCATATGTGCAATAATACAAATAATAAGCTATGATCAAATTTTAAACGAATATTTAATAGACAAACGAATCGAATATATATCTGGTTAAATTCTATTCGTTAATAAACTCAATTACTAAAAAATATTTGTTTAGTGATAAATAAACTACCGAATCGAATATGACCGAATAGTTATTCGAACAATTATCGAACCATTTATTAATTATTTGGTTCATTTCCACCCCTCCCACTGTCGAGTCACACTGTCAATTATGGCTTGACTGTTCTTATCATTGATTTTTGTGGTGGTGTGAAAAATTGTGGTTTTACGCCACTCATCGTTATCCTTCGGCTGAGCTAATGCGCATCTCACAACACTAAGTCGACGGGAAGCTTTGTTCACTTTGTTGATCGAGGGTGTGGGTACGCTCAAAAGACATCCTAAGATGGCCTCGACAAATTCATCCTCCCAAACATCGTCATCAGGGTTGTGAACAATTTCCTCTAAATCATCCTGGTCACTGTCCAATCGGGACTCGATAATTAAAGTTCTTGTTTTACTTGGACACTGAACAGCAATATGACCAAACACTTAACACCTAAAACATCAAGTAGATTGAGCCGATCTAGATGACTCGTTGTAAACTCCCTTGCTAAGTTGCATGAAAACGGGCACGGGTACTGGTACGGGTGCGGGACACGGCAAAACATTTTTTACTAGACATCTAAACGACCCATTAACTATATAGTTTTAAACTTGGGCATGGACTGAAACGAATCCGACCCGTATCTCATTAGTTTCAAAAGACGGATGTGAAGTGTAAGCCCTACGTCCAGGAAATCTTTGACAAGTGTTTTAAATTAACATATATCGTATAATTTAGTACATGTTGTAATAAATGTGTGCATATATTCAAAAAGTGTCCATGAAGTTTGGGTACGGGAAAGTGTCGGGTACGTGTCTGGTACGGGTACGACTTCATTATAGAAGTACTCGGGTAATATAGCTCCCTTGCCTTTATCATCTGGCTTCTGCGTGTAGGTATTAGATCCAAATCGGGATTGAGACTAGGGTTGACTAAGTAGGGACTTAACAGTGGTGGCTTTATTGGTGTTATTCCCATAGTCTGTGCATCTAGTGAAAGGAGAACATTGTGATCGATCTAAATCTTGGACAAGCTGATAGGCTTGCTCTAGAGTGGAGATGTCTCGCACAAATAGTTCGCGCCTAAGATCTTCCCTAAGTCCTGAGCGAAATCTAGACAAGACTACAGTGTCAGATTCACTCTCGCTACACCTAACCAGAAATTCATCAAATTTGGTGATGTACTCTGATACTAGTCGATTACCTAGCGTCAAGCGCTGCCAGTGATCGATCAAGTGTTTCTTGTACGACACAGGCAGGTATTTTTCTTAGAGTTTCAATTTCATCGCATCCTAGGTTTGTATGGGTTCTTGCCTCCTAAGAATCATCAGGTTCTCAATGTTAGACCAATATTGCCTAGCCTGACCCACTAGCTTCATTTTGGCAAATCGAATTCGTCTCTCATTGGACATTTTATACCAACCAAAATAGTGGTCCATGTCCGACATCCAATAGATAAAAACCTGAGGATCTGACTGGTCTTCGAAAGTGGGTGCCTCTAGTTTAACGTATTTCAGATGCATCACATCTGGGTCAAAGGATGAACTGTCCCTAGGTAGGCGATTTTCAAGACGGTTGGCATGAGGATCTATGTATTCATGAGGTTGATAAGGATAATGTCATGTTCGAGATCCGCCATCTTCATCACGTTCATGGGGCCTATCCGTCACTCGGTCCAAACGTTCCCTCGTCTCTCTCAAATCTTGTTCAACAATGTCAAAATCGCGCAGCTAAGGCTTCTATGGCTTTTGTGAGGCTTACAAGGTTGGGATCCATCTCGGAATTGGGATCTAGAAGAAAATATTGTATCCCACTACGAGTGCGCATGCAATAGGTTAGTTTCTAAATGCAATCTAGAGGATCTTAATAATAACGATGCAGTGACTTGCTAACTAATTTTCGCTTTAAATGCAATCTATCAAAATGCAAATCAATTTTAACACCTAACATGATGCCAGATGATAATGTGGAATACGATTGGAAAATGAGAAATCAACAAGGAGATCAATTCGCAGCGTTCAATATGTTATCCCACGGTTTGTTACAAATTGGTCATCAATTATTTAACTTGTGATAATTATATCGACTACAAAATCCATGCTGATAATATTGAGTCGTAAGATTGCAGCAAGATAATTAACAAACTAGATTTGAAAAGTTCTAATTTAACATCGAGATCTAGCACCAAAAAAGGTAAAACAGAATCACACACTCACAAGTTTAGTGGACAGCCAACAATTTTCATAGCACGCAAGATGAACCGATCTAAAAGTGATTGCAGCAATTTTCAGATCAATTAGAAAGACGTAGAATCGATGACATTAGAATTACCTTGATGAAGATTCGCTAACAAACCTCTGGTTGATGGCACTGTAGGCTACGAGTTCAGGATGATCGTTAAGGAAGAACGACGAGGCTGACTTCCTCAGCTCAGATGTGATCTTGAAGGAGAACGACACTCTTGAGAGGATGATGAGGGTGTGGCAATCTCGTCGAGGGTGAGATCGCGATGTTGTCGACGACGGAGGGGAGATGGAGGGTCGAGAACGACAACAGAGTAGGCGGCGGCGACGGGTGGAGTCGAGGGAGGGGGTTCGACGAAAGAAGGAAAATCGACGGGATCGAGATGTCGTTGACGTCGATTGGTGATGCCAGTGGAGATGCTGATGGAGGCGCTGGCGCTGGTGGAGGTGGGGTTGCTGGTGGAGGCGTTGGTGTTGGTGAGATGTGTTGTTCGTGGTGGAGATCAGGGGAGAGGGGTTCGATAATTGAGGTGGAGATGGGGGGTTGTGGAAGAGGAGGCGGAGGCGTGGGACTGGGGAGCAGGGAGGCGTCAAGACTAGGGCTAGGAGGATGAAGAAGAGGTCAAGGGTATTGGCTAATTGTTTGAATGATGAGGAACAGAGAGGGTTTGGCGGCTGGAGGAGAGAGAGTACTGGCCTAGGTTTTTTTTGTAATGAAGGGTTGTGATGAGTTTTGAGAGTGAATTGGTGGGTGGGATAAATTGACAGTAGATGGTTGTTGGAGATGAGGGTGAGGGAATCGGATCTGATAGGGGGTTGATTTTCCTTTTGATCTGAAATTTCGGATTTGGCTTTTTTTTAACTACAAACTAAATAAAAATAGAACAAGTGAAAGAAAGAAAGAGATGGAAGAACCTGAATGGAGAAGAATCTGGTTGACCAACCTGGCTCTGATACCAAAAATGATGCGGGACAACGGAATTTTTAGGGATTTACGGTGGGGATTTGAGAGATTTGTGGAAGAACAATGAATTAGGGAAAACTAGGGTTTGGAAAGATAGCAAAATTAACAATTTTAACAAGATACGACCACGGATCACAACCCTAGTCTTAGCTTCACCACCATTGACTCAATCTTAAAGATCAAATCAATTACCCAAAGTTTCACAAATAGAAACAAAATTTTATTCAAATAATCATTGCCTTTATTTCATAGAATTGACCTCTTTAAATAGGCTTTCAACAAATACAAGTTCACTCCCATATCCGATGTGGGACTAAAATTATTGAGCAAATACAATAAAGAGGAAATAAAAGTACTACTAGCTAGACTCCAAGCCTTCTCAAAGATCAAAGCCACATATGAGCTGAGGCAACACGACGGCGGCAGCGAAAATATGTGCGACGTAGGGGTTGTGCGATGTCCTCATCAGAACATGGTCCAGCACCAACGTCAAGCAACAAAGAGATGATTCCACAAATTGAAGGCAGAGGTGAATAGTACAAGTCATTATTCCCAAACCCTAGCCCTTTTATGCGAACCAAATTCTTCCCATGAATCCCTTGTCAATCCAACCTCAATCTTCTCCGATATAACGAGTTAGCACAAGGTGCTGGATCTCAAGTTAACAATCGATGAATTCAAGATTTGTGGATAGCCCTCAAGACGGCTTGATGCGACCATGTTTAAGACCTTGCGATGTGTCTAAAGTGTTTATAGAAGTAGCAATGTAGCGTCTATTCTGAACAGCCACGTGCCAATTCACTTGGACTTGCTCTCAAAAAATCGTGGAGCTAACAGAAGTTCAAGCAGAGTGCTGTATCAGATAATATTCAGTGTAATTGGTGATCAGATGACTAATTTGAACAAATTTAGATCCTGTTGTATGGGTTTCTTGGACAATACATGGGGGCGAAAAAAAACCTTACCAAATCAGTGAAGGGGCATAATAATTAGTTAATGGTTTTATTGAGTAACTGGATTCCGATGGTAGAGAAGTTATCTCAGTTGAGTATGTTGCTCGCAAGTCGCAAATATGTGTGCTCGTAGTTGAGGAAATTAAGAATCTCAATACAAATAAAGGAGGAGATAGATTATAGTTCGATGAACTGATCATCAGTATGGTTCCAGGGTCAATGCAATTTGGATCACAGATCATTATGCAAGCTTAAACATGGGAATTATAACAAACACTTGGCGTGCATCATACACAACAACAAAAAACCCCAACAAATACTCCAACAGAATCCAACCACCATTAACCATCACCAACTACCAAAAACCCAACAAAACCCAGATCCCTAAATTTAAAAAAAAAGAACGAAAAAAAAAACTCACCCGAAGAGGCGAACTGGGCTCTGAGACATCAGAGAGATTGAGACTGAGGCGATGAGCGGCATGAGCCCTAGTTCTGTTCCTCCTCATCTCAGAACTGGGCAAAGGCAAGAGATCCTGAGCTTCCCAAAGACTAGCACCCAGTTTTCTAGCTGAGGGTTTGCTGGTTGAAGCTGAAGGTCCTGGCTCCATTTTCCAACTGGGAACTGGAGTAAAAGGCCCGCCTTTTTTGCCCACTGAGATCCCCTTCCTTAGCTTTACCCCCAGCAATTCATCTTGTTCTTCAATTATTGATGCTGCCCCCTTTTCTCCTTCCATTGAGAATTGACAGAGCTTTTACTTTTTGTTTTTCAGAAAAGGATGATTCTTTATCACCATTGCTTTCGAGTTTTCCTCGTTTTCCTGGACGAGTGATGATGGTGTAGTTCCATTTTAGGGTTTTTTCCCGTTTTAGTCCCTTACATCTTTCATATCTTCAACTTAGCCCCTCAAATCAGTGAAATTGCTATTAGATACCTTGCCTTTTTGTAGCTGATTCTGAATGTGCCCCTCGTATCACAGAAATTGCCATTTGCTAAAATCTATTTGGAGGGATTGCTAGCTAAAATCTATTTTTGTCCTCTAGTTTTCATAATTTGCTTCAAATTAATTTCTTCAATTGTTATTTTGATCTTAATTAGAGAGACTAATTTCAAAATAACTTGAGATCATGGGATCTAATAATAGTTTTAATGATTTGAGTGACTAAGTTTAAAATAACTTCAATATTGAGGGACCGATAGAAATCTAAATGATTTTAGGAACTAATTCTATATATGAAGACTTAATGGACTAATATTGAGATTCGGGTAAATTTCATAAAATCCCCTGAAAAAATTTAGGTGATTTGTAAAAATAGATTATAAACTTGCTAACATGACAATGTTAGAAAATGGATTACTTTATTTAATTTAAAACTAGTATGCAGTGCACATGGTGCATTTGTGATACCAAATATAAAGAAGCATTGTAGTTGAATTGTTTGGGAAAAAAGTGATTAATGTGATTTATTTTCCTTCAAAGTGTGAAGAGTAAGGATATTTGCCCATTTTCTTAGCTTTTCCAATTATGGGGACATTTTAGGCACTCCAAAATTGTGGTCCACATAATCAAAGTGAGAGGTTCTCTTAATATATAGTATAGATCGATTAAAATTTAGACAGTCTAACAATTTGAAAGTTGAAGATTTTATTTCATGGGGGGTTTCATAAAATCCATTTAACTTTATAAAATTATCACCTATTGGATAATCAGTAATAATTTAGTTCCTCCTCTCCGTAAATCGTAACATTAACATTGTTATTTTCCTTGTTCCATGTCTATTTCCTGAACTATAGTTAAAATGGACTTCTAATTTTTAAGAAAAAATGTGTCAATGCTTCAAAAATGAAAACTTTATGTAGCTCAACCCCTTGTATTTTTTCCTTTGTGTATTGGCCCCAGAAATTCTATTTTACCGACCATTTTACCCCTCGCCACTCAATCAATAGCACCATCACAATGCCCCCTTCTTCTTCGTCCTCCCTCCATATCCCAAAGTCTAGGTACCAAAACCCTAAGCCTAGCAATCCTACCACCCTCGACCTCCTGATCCTCATTCCCTCGTCCTCTTCTCCTACTCCTTCCTCATCCTCTCCTCTCTCTCTCTCTCCCACCTCCTCTGAGTCCTTTCCCAAACCCTAATTCAAATCCTAACCACCAACCCCCTCTCCCTCCTCTGAACATCCTGATTTTGCTCCCTAGGTGTAGAAACCCTAGGTGCAAGGGCTTGTAAAGGCACTAGAGTTCGATGTTCAGATTCAGACCGAGGATTGCGTGAGAGAGAAGGGGAAGGAGTGGAAGGAGATCTAGGATCTATAGTGGAAATGTATGTAGTAGGGAAGGAACCACAATTATGAGGTTTTGCGTACCGAACTGAGGAAGATGGTGTCGATCAATGACCAGGCTATGCTACTTTTTTAGGCGAACTACGGATGCCCGCTAGCAAAGTTGGAGGCTTGGATGCTGAAGAAATGGTCGAGGTGGACTTGGAGGCAAGGGTTAGGGTTTTGGCACTTCAAGTCAGGATGGAAGTTAGATGCAAGAAAGGTATTTGATGAAATGCCGCACAAGAATGTTGTTGCATGGAGCTCTGCTATACTATTGAAGTCGGAATTCATTAAAAGAAGCAGCTCAAATTGCTATAATTTTGTTGTTTTATTTCATTGGTCGTCCATAAGATACAATAGATATTATTGAGAGGATAAGTCTTTGTTTTAAATTTTATTATACAGATGCCACTTTATTAGCTTGGAAATTATATGTAGTTTGTAAATAATGTGTTGGTAATTGAGAAATAAAATCCTACATACAAAAATGTTCATTTGAATTAATGGATGTATAAATATTTATTGATTAATTGTTAAGTTTTATGTAACACACGTGAACTGTAGCTAATTAACTACTAACATTTGCTTATTCCATGTTAAGTATAGTTAAGTAAGTGTTAACTTTTTTAAATATTAAGTTTAATTGACTACCTGTTAAGTTTTACCTAATACATGTGAACTATAACTAATTAACTGTTAATGTTTATCTATTCCATATTAAGTATAGTTGAGTAAGTGTTAATTTTTTCTTTTAAATGTTAAGTTTAGTTGATTAGTTATAACATTTTACCTAATACATGCGAACTATAACTGATTAACTGTTAACTTTTACTTATTCCATGTTAAGTATAGTTGAGTAGTTGTTAACTTTTTCCTTTTAAATGTTAATTTAGTAGATTAAATGTCATATTTTACCTAATACATACGAACTATAACTGTAAAAAATTTCATGTTCAATGTTAAGTTTAATTGAGTAATTGTTAACTTTTAAATCATGAGAACTATAGCGTATCAAAAGATGAGATCGGGGTATTACCACCAATTACTACTAAAAGGAATGGGAGAAATAGAGTAAGACTATGCCAAGTGTTGATGTAAAGAATTAGAGCTGGTTGTCAGTGCTAAAACATGGATGCTAACTGTATCAGCTTGGATATAAGACGAATCAGTATCAATTGAATATACTTTATATCATTTAAATATATTCAATACTATGTTAAACTTTTTCTATTCCTAGTTAATACTAAGTAATTGTTAATACATGTTTGTCAAAATTCACGACTAATCATATAACATGTTACTATCATAATGTAATAAATCACATCTCTCCTTGGCATTTCATCAAATACTCTATAAGCAATCTCCAAAACGCTGCATATCATACACTCTTTTTACATGCTACTCCAATAAACCAAGTCTTGCTCATCCATTTTAATTAAAAATAAATTAGCAAGATCCAATCTACCACTAAGAATAAAATCATAAATAATATAATTATGGGATTTATTTGAAAGTAATGGTGGAGGGGAGAGGAGTGGAGGTCATAGGTGGTTTTGAGGAGGTGGGTTTGAAGCGAAGTTGGCAACAGCGAGGGAAGGGGAAGGTAGTTTGTCAAAGGAGATGATGGTCTTGCCACCATGCAGGATAGTTTAGAAGAGGAGAGAGGATGGTAGATGGAGGAGAAAATGGCGACAAACTCAGAGAAGAAGATCTTATTTGTCGCTGTTGGAAGAGGGAGATGACGGGGTTGGAGGATGCACTTGAGATCAGTAATGCCGAAGGGGGAGGCGGGAGAGGGAAATGGTGGGTTCAAATAGGAAAAGGAGGATGAGGGAGAGGGGAGAAAGGTCAAGGTTAGGATTAGAGTTAGGAGAGAGGAGGAGAAACTATGAATGTTAGGGTTAGGAGAGAGGAGAGATGAGGAGGAGAGGAGGAAGGAGCAACGGCGTCGGCGACGAAGGTAGGGCAGGAGGATTTAGGGAGATGGTTGAGTTAAGAGAGGAAGGGAGAGGAGAAATCTCTCCATGGTTGTGATATCCTTGAGAGAGAGACAGAGAGGTGAGAGTGAAAGAGGGGAAGAGTGAGGGGTATTCTTGAAATCTTTTTGGGTTTTTTCTTTGGGCGGTGTGAATAGGGGCTGAATCACAAAAGCCATTGTATTTGGGGCCGATACAAAAAAACATAAAGGGCTAAGTCGCATGTAGTTTTCATTTTTGGGCCATTGACATAATTTTTCTAAATTTTAAAGTGGACAAATCTTTAAAAAAGATCACTTTCAAATTTAATTAGCAAAATAGAACGAAAAATATTTAATTAGCAAAATACACCATCTTTGCTAAAAAAATAGTCTATTTTGCTAATTAAATGTCAAAATTGGTCTATGTCAGAATTTTATCAATTTCAAAAATATTTTTGTTCATAAAAAATGATAACATGATTATATATGAATTGTGAAAAATTACATTTAATGCAATTATAATTTTGCCTTTAATTATAAAAAATAAGTTTCTAAAAGAGAATTTGAGTAAATTTAGTTGTGCATTGTTCTTCTAGAAAGTGTTGTGTAACAAATGTATAATATAATAAAATGAATTTCCATTGTCATTACTATATTTTGAAATTATAACTTGTTGATGCTCGTGAGCAAACAATTGATGGGGGTGAGGTTGTCTGCTGAGGGAGGATGATAAAGGATAAAGGGGTCGACTCTCCCTCCGACTTTATGCCTAGCTATGAGCGCACGGGGTGGACTGATGGCCTGCACATACAAGGAACGTTAGGGTACGGGGCGTGTTTCCCCCGTGGTACCTCCGACGGTCAAGTTAGAGGATGAGTTTGAGGGAGGTTTTGGGGAGAGTCCCTGAGCCATTGAGGTCCATGCAGGGTACATTCTCATTTTAGAATTTATTTAGAAGCAACTTGAAGAAAAGAATGACCTCTTAGTTTTTTGAGTTCATCCCACCTCCCCGGTCCCAAAAAAGCCTCTCCCTCTTTATAGGCTGTTGAGGATAGACACGTGGCTTCATCAGGGGTCTGAGGATGTGGGTGGGGGATGAGCTGGAGGCTGAGTCAGCAGTAGTCCTTTCACGTGTCGGCTGGCGACTGGAGAAGATACTATTTTGAGATGATCTCGATAAGGCCCCAGGATTGATTAGATAGGGTATGGCCGAGAATACGGCGAGGTGCTGAGTCGTCCTTATCTTTACAGATGGCGGTTAGCGATTGGAGGGCGAGGCACTCGAGTATAGAAGGCGTCTCGATAACGTCCCAGGTTTGACAGATAAGGATAAATGGAAGATAGGCTGATCGATCTAGCCACTCATTGCTTCACAGATGGCAGCTGACGACTGGAGAAAATGTCTTCTGAGCTCGGAGGGTGTCTTGATTACGTCCCAGAAGCGACTTGGGAATAGAATGAGCCGTCTTTGCATTTAAGACTTCGTCAGAGTTTGAGACTTTTGATGTGACTGGTCAATACTGTAGTTGATTGATGTATGTCTTGGAAATAGCTCAGTTAGATGACTCGGATCTTTATCTTCCCCCAACAGGATTGAATTGGAAGGCGGGTCGTTCTCGTAACTTGTTGACTAGATAAGTGAGTCGTCAGCCCAGTCAGACAGCTCGGTAGACAGCCGAGTCGCCACTAGGGGAATCGTCTTGATTGGGAGTTGGGTGGACTCCTGAGTAGTCGCCTTAAAGGTGAAGGGCCGACTGCTTCCGCGCTTCGTGTCGGCTAAAGCTTTTGACTTTTGGCTAGGCTTTTCAGCTGAGTCGATTTGAATTGTGAATCCATTAGGCTCATAGAGACAATCTTCTAATCATTTTTGTTGATAAATGGTAGATTACCATAACATAACTATAGTTGAATTTTATGCATGCAAAGGGAGACTAACATTAACTTCAAATAAGAAAAAAATATAATAAAAAATAAGAGTGTACACCCACAATATAAAAAAATTTGTCATAA